AAGAATGAACATATAAAAGATGAAAACAAAAAAGATAGAACGTTTTCATTTGATGTGACCAATCTGACCTTATATTTGATAAACTATATAAGGATAAGCAGATAAAATTGAGCGATAAGCATAAATTGCCAGACCCTAAGCAATAAGAGTAAAAAATATTGTAAATGGCATAATGCATAGTCACATATGACTAATAATTGCTTGATCTTTCGTCATGTGTTACAGGATGCTATCGAGTCAGGACGAATCACGTTCGAAGATAAGAAGAAAATGGCAGTGGATGAAAATCCTTTCCCACAACCACTTTGGGTGAACATGGTGACGACTGGTTTAAAAAACAAGTTGCCAAGACTCAAATTGATTATAGATGATGGTGAAAAATATCATGGGTCATATCCTAGTGTTTTTGTATGTATCAAAGGGAAAGAGCCTAGAGAAGACGAAAATATCCTGTGTGCAAGATATAAAGGAGAAATGAGTGCAAATACAGAGAAACCAGGGATATGGCACCATCACCATTGCCCTGATTTTGTCCCAAACGCTCAGCATGTTAGAGGGCGAGGTACATTATTCTATAGAGGACCGCCTTTTGAGAGGCAGTTCAGGCCAATGAATAGTGGGAAGACATTTAGGCCGCAACCTCACCAACCAAATGTATGGTATTCATTTCAGTTTAATGTAGGAATGCTGATACCCTTAAATGAGATGACTAGAACCCAACAAAGGCTTTTTCAACGGAATTATGGACGAATGATGAGGCAACAATAGGGATTGCCACGTCCTAAAGCGCCTAAACTACTTGAGGTGGCCAATCAAAATGTTCTCGAGGATAGTAAAGAAACTAGTACAGGTGAATCAATGGAAGAACTGCTACAAAGTTCTTTTGGGTGATCAAAGTTTGAGCGAGGTAAAAAGGATGAAGAAGATCCAGATCAGCCCCCTACTATTCAATTCGGTACGTTACCTCCTGTCATGGCTAATAACTATTTACTAGCCAATGAGTTCAAAAATAAAGAGAAATTGGAGGAAAAAATAGAGGACAACGAAAAGGAAGCATGTGTACTAGAATGTGAAGAAGGCCAGACATCTAGGGGGTATACGACGAAGAAGAGGACGATGGTATGACGGACATCGAAGAAGAAATTGATCTAGAAGCAGAGAGAAGAAAGGGGGGAGTATCGCGCAATACATTGTTGAAACAACTACATTGAGAAGTGTTCGCGAGGTAGACTTGTTGGGAGAACCATCTGGGCGTTCATTTGATTACTACGTATTGTATAGGATACCCAAAAAGAAGAGAAGAGTGCCCTGCTCTGAGAAATATGGGTCGTCTCCAAGAATATTACCTTCCTCTACAGGATGGGTAACTAAAGAAGAAACACTAGAAAGCAGTAGAAATGAAATTCAGGAAACAGAAGTTCAGTGTGACATATTGCACGTTGAGTTATCACAAGAAAATAATTCAACAGAGGACAAACAGGAAGTGGAAATAGATGCTGTTGAGAAGGTTATCTTCAAGAGACCATCCATGAAATTAACAAAGCACTTGAGGCCATTGTACATGAAAGCTTTAGTCAATGGTGTACCTGTGGCGAAAGTACTCATTGATAATGGAGCAGTCATAAACACCATTACGTCCAGAATGATGAGGAAGTTCGCAAAGATAGAAAGTGATATGATTCCAACAGAAGTCATTCTCACAAGTTTTAATAGAGGAGCAACTTCGGCTAAATGAGTTATGCCACTGGACATAACTGCAGGGACAACTACTAGGACCACTATTTTCTTTGTAATAGATGGTCCTACTA